TCCGTGCGAATCACCACTTCCCAACCGTAGACATAGTCGTGGAACTTCTTGATTCCCACCATAATAGCTAGTGCTTCTCGGTCCAGGTGTGCAAAATTTCTCTCTGATGAAGACAGGGTACGGCTATGGTAAGCAATTGGCGTATCCACTGCTTCGTTATTCGGCTGGCTGAGCACACACCCCACGCCGTAAGGGCTAGCATCACAAGTAAGGTATAGTGGTCGATGTTCGTCATAATGTCCAAGCAGAGGTTCACTCACTAGGATATCTTTAATCTTCTCGAAAGCTAATTCCTCTTCTTTGCGCCAGTGCCATGGACAGTCCTTGTGCAAGAGTCGATGATAAGGTTCGGCCAGTGTGGCTTTATCTTTCAAAAACATATGATAAAAATTCACAAGTCCGAGAAACGCTTGCAACTCTGTTGTGTTTTTCGGTGCAGGTCATTGACAATAGCTGTCACTTCATCGTTTGTTGGCTGTATCCCGGCAGCGCTTATATGAAATCCGAGGAATGTTATTTCCTTAGTACTGAAAACACACTTGTTTTTTCATAAGTGTAGTCCATCCTCTCTGAATCTCTGAAGCACTTCTCGCACTTTGATCTCCTAATCTGAATCCGATGTACCCACTATGAGAATGTCATCATAGTATGGCAAGGCACCAGGTATTCCAGCTAGCCGCGCATCAATGAATGGTTGGAAAATCTGTGGGGCAACGGAGACACCAAACTGGAGTCGCGAACACTTGAATGACCCTCTGTGTGTTATGATGGTTTGTGCTTCTGCAGCCTCGACGTCCACTGAAAGTTGTAGGTAGGCTTGTTACAAGTCCAGTTTTGCAAAAAAATTTACTCCAGCTAGAGCTGCTAAAATATTCTGCACACAAGGAACAGGGTAAGCATTGGTTCGCAGCGCCTTGTTGATAGTGTTACGGTAGTCCCCGCAAATTCTAACTTCACCACTGCCTTTGAGAACAACGACAATAGGGGTCGCCCACTGCAGGTGTGTTACTGGTTCCAACACACCTTGTGTAATGAGTCTGTCCAATTCACAATCCACTTTCTCTTTGAGAGCGAATGGTACACGACGAGCTTTCAGTACAATTGGTTTGATTTCTGGATTCAATATAAATGACACTGGGGGGATTTTATACGCTCCCAAATCTTCACTAAATACTTGGGGATACTCCTTCTCGTAATCCACAGTAGCTGTCATGTTATGGATTCCTGTGAGTGAAATGCCAAGAGCTGCGAACCAATTTCTGCCCAGAAGACTCGCTCGGTTTGATTGAACCACGATGAGTGGCCGCTCCGCCGAACGGTTTCTGTACTTAACTGGAACACAGAATTCTCCCACAATATGAATAACGTTTTCCTGGTAGTCCTTGCATTTTGCGTGTCCAGTACAGGAGGGCAGTCTCTGGAAATTTCTTGAAAATTGGTTTGACCAATTACGCTATGAGCGGCACCCGAATCCACTTTCATTTCCATCAACTTTCCATCTACTTGGATGTTAACATTGAATTTCCCGCACCCAGAGTCAATTTGTAAACTGTGTAATGGCACACTGTAGATATTGTCCGTATCTTCAGGGATACTGAAATTTTGCTCATCGATATCATCGGTACTTTGATTATGCACCCTGTGTTTAGATTTGGAAATTCCAACTTTATTTTTCTTCGCATAACATGCTTTTTCTATAATATATGACCTAGTTTGTCACAGTAACGACACTTCGTATTTTTGAAAGCACATGTGTCAGGCGAATGCTCACTGTCACATCGAAAACATCTCTTCTTCCGATCAAACCATTTCTTGTTATCATCCATCTTATTCACTGAATGTACTACTGACGAGCTTGATGCTGTCAGAGTCGAAGATTCTTTGAGCACAGTGAGATTATAAGATGCAGTCTCATGTGCCAGGCAGAGAGCCTGTGACTTAGCAAATGTGAGATCCTGTTCTGCTAACAAGCGCCGCTGAAGGGATTCATCTAGGATTCCACAAACTAATCGATCACGCAGCATGGTCTCCAAAGTATCGGCAAAACTACAATTTTCTGCAAGATGACGTAGTTCTTTAATGAATACCGCAATGCTTTCACCAGCTTGTTGATTGCGTCTGTGAAACTTGAAACGACAAACCATTTCTGAGGTCTTCGGGGTGAAATGTTGATTAAGTACTCGAATCAACTCGTTGAACGGTTTCGCATTCACCTTTTCGGGAGCTATCAGCGAACGTAAGATAGAATATGTAGCCGGGCCACAAATACTCAGGAAAACGGATTTTTTTCTTTCATCTTCTTGAATGTTATTCGCCAAAAAAAAGAACTCTATTCTTTCTTGGTGACTTTCCCAACTGGCGGGATCACAGGGATCGAAGTGTTCAATGTTTCCATAGGTAGCCATATTGCGAGCTCGACTAGCAATACTTTGGCAAACTTACTGAGCATGTTATTTTGGGTTACTCATGGGTCGTCGCCAATATGTTATATATGAAGTCGATAGTCGAATTCAGATAACATGCATTCAATGTGGCTCACAAAATCAATATTATCAACAACTGAACTTATCTATCTATACATAGCAACCTGAAACCAACGTGGAATATTTTACTGGAAGTTTAACCATACTCAGTACACAACAGTTCAGCAGGCAGAAACCTTCAATGTGGACAATTTTGATGAGAAAGTGGAGTTGGGAAGTAACATCATCTCAGAACGCCGACATGGAACACTATTTCTCAACACAATTCGCGGCCTCATAATTGGTCCATCGAATTGTGGTAAAACGAATGTGATGATATCACTCCTCACCAACAAAAATGGTTTACGGTTCACAAATATCTACCTCTACTCAAAATCGTTATACCAGCCCAAGTATGAGTACCTATGAAAGTCTTTGGAAGAAGTCCATGGTAACTCAAAGTGGAGTGGTGTAGTTCATAGATGAAAACCCAATGTCATCTCCACAACTTTTATTTAATGATCATAGATCATATAAGGAACATGTTTCGGGCTTATATAAGCCCATCATCAGCCAAGAAAATGTAAAGTTCTAAAAAAGGACAGATTGACCTATGGTATGATACAGTAATATTTTACTTACATGGAAGTGAAAATTGTTGCAATATGTATACAATAAGCAATAACGGAGCAAGCAAAAGCATGGAGCAATGGCTTTTGCTTGCTCCGTTATTGCTTATTGTATACATATTGCAACAATTTTCACTTCCATGTAAGTAAAATATTACTGTATCATACCATAGGTCAATCTGTCCTTTTTTAGAACTTTACATTTTCTTGGCTGATGATGGGCTTATATAAGCCCGAAACATGTTCCTTATATGATCTATGATCATTAAATAAAAGTTGTGGAGATGACTTTGGGTTTTCATCTATGTACCTATGAAAGGTTTGAGATTCCACAATTTTGATAATAATGTAGATATGATAGGACCATCGAATGATAAACCTGATAGCATTTTCATATTCGAGGACGTCATTTGTGAGAAACAAGATTTGATTAGATCGTATTTTTCTATGGGTCGCCATAAAAATGTGGACTGCTTTTATCTGGCGCAGACATATACCAGAGTACCCAAACAGCTCATTCGCGACAACTCCAACTCCATAGTTATGTTTTAACAGGATTAAATGAATCTTCACCACATTTTTTCCGATCACGTACTTCGAGATGTAACATTCAAGCAATTTCAAGATATGTGCGCTCAGAGTTGGACAAATAGATATGGATTTATAGTTATCGATAAGGATAGTGAATTACAAGAGGGTCGCTACAGAAAAGGATTCAATAACTTCATATATCCGTGATTTTTCAGCACCGCGGGATTCATTCAACCATGAGATGTGACTATGAGCACATCTCATGAGAAAACGACTGAAATGAATTCAGAAATTTACCTCAAACGTGAACTCATTGGAGCAACCGAAGCAGTGAGGAAAAAGTTCGAAAGCCTGAAAAATTACCGTATGGGAAATCAATTGGCGCTCGAAAAGGTGTAAGAACCACTCATGAAACCGTTAAATGTTATCTCAGCAGCAGCAGCAGCAACTCCAAATACAACAGCTAATACGATGAATATCCGACAATGATGGCACAACCCACATATTATTCCACACCGATGTCGGGCAATGCGTCTCCAGGTGCTACGAAACCACCCAGACAATCCGTAAAACCACGTAGTTCCACTGATGATTATTCAAGCATACAAAAAGACGATGAAGAACCCGATTATAGAACAATGATGGATACACCACCAACATCATCTTCACACATTTCAATCGATACTATGATACCCGCTGATGAGGTAGAAGCGAACGAACTAGATGGACAATTGAGAAAACATTTGGATAACTTGAAGTCTAATGATCTCAATTATGACGTTCGTATCGATCAAACCACGAATAACACGATGATGGAGATTCGTTTTCCTCACGGACAAATTGAGTTATTGTGCAGCAATAAGAGAAGCAAGATTTGTCCAGCAATGTCTAAATTATATAATCTTATATTCATGATGCACGTACCGAGATCGATCAATGATCGATATAATAGCGTATACACAGCCTTGCTGGAGAATACGAACGATATAGCACGACATTTATTGTCTCCTGAATAAATAAAAGTTTACCTAGATAAAACCGACACAACCTACGTCAAAGTGTGAAATTGGATCCGCAAAATCAACAAAGGTGAAAAATGATCAATCAATGAGTGAATAGGAGTGATATCAAGTGCATTTTAGTGTGATAATCCTGCCGAAACCTTATGTACAAGTAAGTACGGGTCAAAGTGGCATGACATGCATATAAACACATCAACATCAAAGTAGAATTATTAGGCAGTGGTGGGAACATACTCGATACCAGATTGATTCAGTTGCCAAATTTTTACGGCGGGTCAGTTTTAAATCTCACCGGGTACGGTGTGTAACAGTTTTGGAGCAATTTCACTCAGAATACTCGTATCCAGTTCTGAGATATGAGTTTAACTCTAGAAGATCTATGCACAATAATAAAAAAAGGTAACGAAGACCTGAAACAAGAGATTTCAAATGTAAGAAAGGATTTATGTTCTGAAATTCGCAAATTAGAACAGAAAAATGATAAATTAGAAGTTGAAAATAAACGGCTGAAGGAAAAATTAACGGAATTAGAAAGAAAAGCAAAAAAATATAACCTGATATTATACGGACTTGATGGGGATGAGGCCGGGGCTGCTACTACCGGAAAAATATTAGATCTTGTAAATAACACACTCGGAATTCCATGTGCCAGAAGCGACCTTCGTGATTCATATAGAATTGGCAAGACTGTCGATGGTAACATACGTCCTATAGTAGTTGAGGTCGTTAACCTTCAGTTCAAGTCTGAAATTTTGAATAGAGCAAAAGTGTGTAGTAGCGAACTCCGGGAAAAACGTGTCAACATTGCCCTCGACTACACGAAGGAAGACTACGAGGAAAGGAAATGTCTACTAAAACATATGAAAGCTGCCAAAGAGAAACAATATTCCGCGCGAATAAAAAACAATATCTTGATTGTAAATGGTGAGGAATTCTCATATGATTACCTCAAGAATAAGGAAGATCAGCAGATGGATGATAGCTCCAAAGTCATATCATACAGTGCACCACCAACCCCAACATTAGGTATCACTAGCCCGACACGCACTCCGGGAGAAACACCAAATCTATTGAATCCTCTAGCCTTCTCCTTTCCACCCCTAGAAAGATCGAATAGCATCAACGAAAAAAAAGAAGTTACCCGAATCTCCAGCAAAACCTACAGGAACCATAAAAAAAATCTGCACCAGAGCCCAAGAAAAGAAAAAAAAAAGAATCAACCATTCACATTTTATATTTTTATGTTACAGTTCCATTCGAACTACTGTGTCACAGCTTTTAGAATTTTATTTTCACTGTAATATAAGACTGTAATATAAGTTATTGTCTAATTCCCAAGTTTCGGAAATGAATCCATACATTAGAGATTTTCAAGTAGAAAAAATTGAGAACTATGTTCTAGAAAATGCACACCTAGCGAGACAAGTATTACAAGTCAATAAATGCAACAGTAACTTGAAAATCTTGCAAACTAATATTCGAAGCATATCGAAAAACTTAGATAAGTTCATTATATTCTTGAAAGAACTAGATTCTTCAATATACTGCATAGTACTTACAGAAAAACGTATTATAAATGACATCGGAGTTTACAATATTGAAGGCTATAAAACTCTTTATAACTATGGAAAGCTAAATCAGAACGATGAAGTAATAATATTCATTAAGTCAAAATTATATTATTCTCACCAAGAAATAGAAATAAATGGTACATATCTACTCCAACTAACAGCAGCTATTGGTGAAGAAGTTATTATTATCAATGCATTTTATAGATCACCATGTAATCGTCAAATCGAACAATTCATTGAAAGCTTAGATAATGTGTTAAATAATCATCCTAAGAACTTCACATATAGTGTATTCATAGGTGACATAAATATTGATATAAAGGAAAACAGAGAAAATTCACAAATTTACTTGGACACGCTAGGAGAACATGGATACATTTCAATAATAAATACTACTACCAGGCCGCAATCAGACACATGCATAGACCACATTTTCATCAAGTCAAAGCAAGGGAACCTCGAATCAATTATTCCAATAACGATAGAAACTTGTATTACAGACCATTACACAACACTAGTACAGATAATATTCGATAATAAATCCACAACAGAAAACATAACCAATCCAAAATTCTATAAACAAATAAATGAGGGAAAATTGATACAAAATATTAAAAATACCGACTGGCACTCTATTTCACAAATGGATGATCTGGATAATTGCGTAAATAAATTTGTTAGATTAGTCCAGAGTGCTGTGGATAGGTCTACCAAATTGATTAAAGTTAAAAACAAGGATATCAAGAGGAAAACATGGGTCACTGGATCTTTGCTAAAATCTATAAATAAAAAGAATTCAATGTATGCTAGGTTGAAGTCAAATCTACATAATGATGCTTTGAAAAATGAATATAACGCTTATAGAATAGTTGTTAAGAAGGCAATAAAAGATGCAAGAACAAAATATTACAAAAATATTATCGAAAAAGGAGGGGCCGATTCAAAAGGACTATGGAAAGTAGTGAATGAATTAACCAAACCGCGAAAACTTGACGAAATTTCATCGATATATACTGAAAATGGCAATGTAACACGTGATCCAAGTATAATATCGGAAAAGTTCAATTCATTTTTCACCACTGTAGGTACAAATTCAGCAGCAAAAATTAAACAGGATAAGCACTATACAGAAACCAAAGTCATATCAGAACATACCATATTCCTACATCCCACAGATGAAAATGAAATTCAAGAAATAATTTCACAATTAAAAAATAAAAAATCACCAGGTCCAGACAGTTTGAAAGCTGAAACATTGAAACTCATATCAATTCACATTGCTAAACCTCTCACCTTTATCATCAATGAATCAATTTAAAGAGGCCACTTTCCATCCACTTTCAAACTTTCAACAGTTGTACCGATTTATAAAAGTGGCAGTGAAACGGAAGTATCGAACTATCGTCCAATATCTCAAATATCAAATCTCGGTAAAATATTTGAGAAAATCGTAAAGATAAGATTAAACTCCTTCCTGAAGAAACATAAGCTGTTGTCGGATGCGCAATATGGATTCACAGAGAATAAATCTACCCAAGACGCAATAAAAGAACTTACCAAGAAAATATATAGTTCTATAGATAACAAAAAACCTTCCATAGGAATTTTTTTAGACTTAGCAAAGGCTTTCGATACCGTGGACCACAACATTCTTTTATCAACCTTAGACGATCTAGGAGTGAGGGGTAAAGCATATGGTCTTTTAAGCTCATACTTAATTGGCAGGGAACAACAAACGAAAATAAAAACCATCTATAGCAAAAAAGAAATAATATATCATGCGGTGTACCCCAGGGAACGGTATTGGGGCCTTTGCTCTTCAATATATATTTGAATAACTTATTCTCAAGTCAAAAAGAAGGCAGCATCATAAGTTTTGCAGATGATACTATTATATTTTACGAAGGAGATACATGGGACGACTTGGAAAGTAAAATTAAAAGCGAAATTGTTAACATCAAAAAATGGTTTGATAATAGACTATTATCAATAAATCTCAAAAAAACATTCTACCTGCCGTTCTGTAGCTTATCCACCAACCTCCCAACATTCGATAAGATACCTTTAGGAAATAACCTCGAAATATTACCAACAAAAAGTGTCAAATACTAAGGTATAATGATAGATAGCCATTTGAGATGGGATGTCCATATTAGTTATCTTGTCAAAAAATTACGAAATATCCTATATAGATTCAAACAAGTATCAAATATACTGGATATTAAGCAAAAGAAAATACTCTATCATAGTTTAATTGAATCACATTTAGATTATGGCATTATATAGGATGGGGTGGAGTGTCTAAGACACACCTGAATCGAAACCACTAGAAATTATACAAAAACGTGTATTGAAACAAATAATGTATAAAAATAACCGATATCCAAGCCAAGCCTTATAAGAGGCACAGGTCTATGATCTAAGGAAACTTTATTTCATGAGACTAGGAGTTACACAATATTTACATTAAAATGAACTACTAACTCATTCCCACTATCATAATACAAGGCAGAAAAATAATTTTATAATCCCCTTCATGAATAAATCAATTGGACAAAATTGTTATAGATACTTGGGACCAAAAGTAAACTGCTTGCCTGAAAATATACAGAATGAACCGACAAGCCAACGTTTCAAGAAATCGTTCAAAGATTATTTAAGAAAATTATCATCCGAATTTATAAAATCAATCATAGAAAACTAAAAGAATTCAATGAATATATTTTCCTGTACTATCTGTCAAAAAAAACTACTAATTTACTTCAAATATATATGCTTCGAATATTTTTTCACACTATCCATACAGAATTTTGGGATCATTCGTATTATTCGATTTTTTTCATATATATATATATATATTTCTCATATATTCTCATTATCATATTTTTATTATAGGTTATTTAATATTCATAATTATGATATTCACTAACAATTTAAATGAGGTTAAGTTTTTATACCTGCATAGGTAATAATATTCAATTATTAATGTTTGTATATAGCTTAGGTATATTCACTTGCACTTCGAACTAACTACACACTGGTACACATGTATATTTCGATGTACATGTTACCTCGTAGTTGCTCGTATTTATTCACACTCACATTTAAAGTTCCATAATTCATGTAACTATCATGTAACTATCTCTTTTTTTTCTGTGAATAAATGATTTATTATTATTATTATTATTATTATTATTATTAATACAAAGGCGCCATATAAGAATTTCGATGTACGGGAAGGGTTGAATATGAGTACGAAATCAAAAGCGAAATATCAGCAAATTATCAAACCATCAATTGGTTCTCCACATAATATGAGGGTCAGCAGCAAAACGTTAAAGGTGGTGGGGGAATATTACAGTCGATACCATCCAGGAAGGGTGTTAGTATACGCCGCAAAGAGTACGTCCATTGGAATAAAGCTACAGAATTAGTAGAACGCCTTCGGCTATTGTGGAGTTCAAAATCAGCTGGTCACACTGGGCACGATAATGAAATAATGTCAATAATTGAGGAATTACGTGAAGGAGGCATTGTGCATTAATTTTAATTCGTCTTCAGGGCATAAGAGGGATATGATGTATGCTGGCCTATTAGTATATGAACGTTATTCAAGGAGATCACAAGCATTCAGAAGTGTTTCAATAGGTTTGAATAACGCTGTAATAGAGATAAGTGCGACCAAGAGGCAAATAGTTAATGAACTGAAAAAACCTGTCAGACGAAACTTTCATAGAAGGAGAACTATTGTCACAAACTGTAGGCGGGGGTTGCCTATGTTGTGCTCTAGATCTATTAGAGAATGAACTTTGAAAGTGATAATAATAAAGAATACTCCAGAGGGTCTCCAACAAAACATATACACACATTTATTCTTGGCAATAAATAACAATTAATAAAAACTTAACTTACCCTATATTTACAAATTAACTGATATTTCTTGGGGCCTGAGGAAGGGCATCTTGTGTTCTGCCCGAACTCCGAAGGTTCGGGCACAGTGGCAACTTTACAAACTTACAATTGATAGAACTCAAACTTTCCGGACTTGTACTCAAAACCAGGACTAGAACTCGAACTGGCAGTCCAACTCGCAGTCGAACCGGTAGTCGCACTGGTAGTCGAACTGTCGAACCCGCTTCCTTACGTCTTTTAAATAGTTGTCTTTATTTTCGGAAACGTGACAGTAAGGAAATCAGGTCGATAGTCCAGGTTCGTTAAAGTCATTGTCACGCCTGTGTTTATGTTCAACTATGGAAAAAAGAGTTCGTTCACGATTCGAAAATTTTGGAATTAATAAACAAAGACGCGACCGTTCAATGACTTCGAACCTTGTATGAATTTGAATGAATGAATGAAAAATAACCCTGTTTGTGACATGCCCCTCCTCTGAAAACGACGGCCCCCGTCGTTAAAAAATGGTCAGATGGGTACTCCTAGCACTACGTACTAACCTATCATCATACAAATCTAATAATAAAAAAAACTCCTATCCTTAACATAAATCATTCTTCAAAAAAAAAATTACTGGGAATTACTGAAAATTTCTGAGAATTCCTAAAAAAAAACCTATCTAAAAACTGTCCATATAGTACAACTTAAATTTGTGAGTTCATCCACACACTTCACTGTCTTTAGGCACTCCAAACTGTAGTCTCTGGGTTTCATCTCGGCTCTTCTGGCATCTGGCTTCATTACTGTCGATTAACTGACA